ACACACACACACACACACACACACAGCCTCTCGACAATATGCGTTTCTGCTGGCTGTAGCAGCGCTGCACAGCAAAAACGCGTAAAAAAAAGCGCATGATTTTGCTGATGAACTCCTCCTCTGTTTATTACTAGGCAGTCGCAAAAAGCCATCGTTACGGATGTCAGAGGTGTCATAAGGAGGCATTTTTTAAGAACCGTACCTGGTTTTTTGACTGTCCACTTTCGACATAAATTAATGTATTGCAGATGGCCATAAAAATGGTGCGCGTGTATTTGACGAAGAATGTTGGGCGAATTTGGAAAGTAAACGGATGGAAAATTATGGCCGCTCCAAACCAATTGCCGAAAAAGCAGCATGGAATTATTGGAATACTTTACCAGGTTCACCCATTTTTCAGTGGATGATTAATCCCTTACGGATATGCGGCTACGACTTTCGAAGCTCGCGTGCAACAATCCAGAATTAGAAAGCGGATTACGAATGGTCTGTCAGCTTCTTCCTTAAGCTGCTTTCCCGGCTATTCCGAAGGTGGCCTCACCTACAACATTTAGATTGATGACAAACGTAAAATCAGTAAGGGAAACGCTCAACAACCCATTTCTTCTTTCACGGTTTTACATAATTAAAGACAAATCAGTGAAAAGCAAGCTCTCCCGGATTTATTACTTCTTTAATAAGATAGCCTCGTTTAGTCACTTAATTAGAATGGTGTCTTATTCCCCTGAGCCGACCTTATCCAAAACTTACGCTTTTTTTTCATAGGTTAGCAAATTTTGCCCAGTTCTTGCTCTTTTTCTGGCCAAACTCTATCTCTCTACTCTCTTCGGTCTTAGTCCTTAACTGTGGTCGATGGTAAAGATAATTTGGTGAAGATAAAATAGACCTACTGCGAAACTTGAAACAATTCGCAAAGGCGTTTTCATTTTTTATCGTTTAAGCCCATATAACTGTAGTATCGGACTGGCAGTTATTGTTGTTTAGCTTTGTACGCATTTTTTGTTTTTTTATTATTCCAGAAGCTTCAAGGTTTCAATTAACAGTGCTGAACCCAACATTTGTTACTGGCCCAGTACTTTCCGACCAGGACCATGGGAGCGCAACGGTAAGCATTTATTGTAAAAGTTTATATTTTCAGTTCTACTGCTATGGCGCACTAAAGCGGTTTCATGTGTGTGCTTGTCTATCGGGACAGTTATTTAATTTTTCTCCTCCCGTGTTTGAAAGGCAAAGGAAGCTAAAAATTTGTGGATATTCTTGTCGTCGAATACAAAGCATATCCTGCCCTAACCTGTTGTCTCTACCTCAAATTCAAGAAAATATTAAAATTCATGATCCAGCAGAAATGCCGGATCAAAATTTCCAAAGAAAATTCCTATCTCGTACACAGGACTAAATTGGCTCAGTTCTGACATCAGGTCCAAGCTGTAATAAGCCTTAATGATCAGGTTTGCTGGTGTGATCATGAGTTTTTGCATTAATTTTTAAGCATTCGGTAGTTAACCGTACATACGTTTATTTCTCTACATTTAGTTTGTGACACATTTCCATAAATCACTGTAAATTTCGCATAAAGGAAAATGAACAGTTTTTTGAATAGTCTTTC